TCTTTAAAGCTCAAGTAAAGATATTAGTGTTGAAATTTTGGGGGGAAAAATGTCAGTCATATAACATATCAAGATGCTCTTAACTTGCTAAGAGAAATGAGATGATAGAGAAGATTAGTGGCTTCAGAGAATTGTGGGAGAATAAGAGGCTTCAATATATTAAGGTGAATAGCAACTGTGTATGTGTTGCTTGTTTATTTTCTCTTTTAACTTCAGTATAATTTTTTTCCTAGAAGGTCTGACTTTGAGTATGTACCAGTACAGAAAAAACCAAGTATGTATTTAATGCCATTAATCATACGCCAGGTAAGGGTTAAGAAAACCAAACAACATACTATAGATGCCTGATTCTAGGAAGGCATCTCCATGGAAAGAAAGAACACTAGCGCAAAAGGCTGAGGGCTTCTTTTATTATGAATTGTAGAATCTTAGTCATCAACCTGCTTCAGTCAGTCAGGCAACGAGTATCTGCCGGAGTATATAAAGCCAACTTTTTATTGAGATAGCAAGCAATCTCCCTAGGAGTTCACAATGAAGCCTTGAAAAAAATTCTTTCTTCTCATCTTTCCATACCTTCCACCATACCTGATGAGTGAGTTGCCTTCTGATTGACTCATATCCTTTAGTATATGAACCCAGGCTATCTACCTTTTAAGAGTTCATTTTAGTAGTATGTTTAAAAAATCTTTTCCCACTATGTTACGGGGACATAGTGTCATTCTCTTCTTTGGCTCTCCTTAGAGCCAAGGATGAAATTATCAGGGTTCTTTCAAAAGCCAGTCTTGAAAAGTCAGCCATAGCTTGGCAAACCAACTTAAAAATTCTGCCAAAGGCTTCCAACCTCTAAATCACCCGTATTGATGGAGACATTCAACCTCAAGATTACCTGATCTTTTATAACTGAATGCTTGTATTCAACTCTGCTGTGGATAACTTGGGGTGACAGTGTTTCTTTCAGTGACCCTATTGGACGGTGGCAAGATTATTTTGAAGTGGGTAAGGCTAGAGCTGATACACAGCATTGCTACCAGGCACACGAGTTTGATTCATTATGGCTAGTATCCATTCTCATTGGCTGAGATCCCATTTTGGTTGGTTGATGCCCTTGCCATGTTGTTTTTGTTGTTAATTGCCATCAAGTCAGCTCTGACTTATGGAGACCTTATGTATAACAGAAGGAAATGTTGCCTGGTTCTGTGCCATCTTCATGATGATCTTTGGTATGCTCAAGTCCATTGTTATGAGTGTTTATCTCATTGAGGGTTTCCCACATCTTCACTGACCCTCTACTTCACCAAACATGATGCCCTTGCCATACCAGATTTTAAATGTTTTTACTGTCATCCACATATTCCCCGTATGAACACACAAAATATCAGAATCTTTCTAATTAATTGTTACATTCCTCTCTGGTTTCATCTTCACATACCACCAGGATGCGTAGTGAGATTCTTACATGTTTTATTTTGAAAGTTAGTTATATAATCTACCTCCTTACCATTTCTTATCGTCAAACATATTTTAAAAACATACGCAGATACCTTAAAACAAAATTTACTCAATTTTTCATTATTTAAAGTCAATTTTACATTTTCCCTCCATTACTATTCTTTATCCTTCTAGACAGTTTTATATTCCCTAGGGTCTTTATGTCCCTTTTTGCTCTTTCGCCAGGAAGAGGAAGGTTTTGCTGTGTGTTAACTGGGGTCAGGATTCCCCCAAATCAGGATGTAATCTGAAGCCAGATAAGGAGGGAAAAAAGAACAGGAAGCAATGACTAACTCTGGTAGGGCTCTCTCTTCATACTAAGTGGGTTCTAGATATTTGAAACATTTGTTTTGTTTTTTGAATTACAAACAATTGGACCACCACTCATTGCACCTGATATACCTTGGGCACTGTACTGATGCTTTGCCTACAGTGGCTCCTTGAATTGATGTGATGAATTTATCTTTAGCTTCTGTCCTTTTGATCGATTATTGTGTTGGGTGGTCTGATTGAGTGGGAAATTTGGCCAGGTATTCCCTGCTACCAGAGCCGGTCCTTTTTCTATTTTATGACCTATGAGACCCTGCTTTGCTCTCCACTGAGCCAGACCTTTCTTTTCATTGATCCCTGCTTTGTGGAAGACAGAGTGGGAGAGTAGTTACAAAGGATCAGTGTTGATCTGCTGCAAAACATCTGCCACATGCTCCAGCCATTCTGTAATGAGCCACAAAGCCTTTCATCAGGTATATTATCACTCAGTGACCTTGAGACTGGCACTTCTGTTCTAAAGCAATGAGCATCTGAGTCATGAGGGTATCGAGTGAGCAGAGAGAGACCATGTGGACTGGAGCATCAGAGCGGGGCTGTGCCGAGCAGGTGTGCCTGGAGCTAGACTTTGAGGATATACCTAGGAATGGATCCACAAGGGCTAGGAAATGGACCTAGAAATGGATCCACAAGGGCTAGGAGGTGAGGACAGCTTGAGGATATCACAGATTAGATTTAGAGGATGAAGAACAGACTAGCCTATTGGATGGGAGAGTGTGTATTGGGGTGGGAGTTGTCGTTGTTGTTAGCTGCTGTTGAGTCAGCCCCGGACTCATGTCAACTCTATACACAATGGAATGAACCACTTCCTGGTCCTGCCCCACCCCCATGATCGCCTGCGGATCCGACCATTGTGATCCATAGGGTTTTTATTAGCTGATTTTTCTGGAATAGATCTCTAGGCCTTTCTTCCCAGACCATCTTAGTCTGGAACCTCCACTGAAACCTGTTCAGCATCATATTAACACCCAAGTCTCCACTGACAGTTGGGTGGTGGCTGTACATGAAGTGCGTTGGCCGGCTATCAAACCCAGGTCTTCTGCATGGAAGTTAGAATTCTACCACTGAACAACAACTGCCCTTGTTGGTGTGGGTAATGGGAAATAAAATTGTTACTGTGAGTGATAAGCCTGCATACTCTGGGGTCCCCAGAAACAGTCTGCGCCCTATGGGGGTAAGGGCCAAATCAATAGTGTTCAGGTAATGTACCCTCAAAATGTTCCATTTTGGTTCTACATATTTGCATCTTGCTTGTACATTTGATTGGTGGATTCTCCACTGCTGGATCCTCCCAGGGACGAGATAAGGAAGCCATGGGAGGCCTGCCGGCTCTTCCTCTGCATTCTGGCAAAGGGGCATCCATCTATGAGATATATGCATGAATGTACTCGCTCCAGGGCAGGGACTCACTGTGCTTGTTCAGAGCTATCTCCTCCTAGGATAATGACTGGCTCTTAGCAAGTACTTGATAAACATCAAATTCATTAACGAATGAATTTATAAGAAAACAGTATGTATTCAGGGCATTTGGGATTTGTTTTATTTTCAACTTTCTCTTGTTGCCTCTGGTTTTTTTGTTTTGTTTTTCTCTCTTCCCCCTACCATCCACACTATGGGTCTCTTGGCCATTTGAGCTCTCCTTCTGTCTCCTCATGAGCATACCTCACCCCTCCCCCGCATTCCGACCTGCACCCATTAACACCTTTCTTGTCATTACTGCTCCAAAAGAAGTCAAGATGGTGAATGTAGGCTCCTTCAAGAGAACTTGAAGAGTGGGCTGAGAAGGTGTCAAGGCTGTCCCTTCCTACATGGCTATTTGGAGAATCTCAGTGAGCATTTCCCTCTTGGGCTTTGACCAAAGCAAAAAGTATCAAATATTCATATCCTGACTTAATTTGTACTTTTTATTCTGCCCCTTGCTCAACACGTGGTTGTAATTGCAAATTAGTTTCCTCTTTCCCCATTAACTCGATTCTCCAATCATTGTCTCTCCTTATAAATAAGAGATAATGGAAGACCCTGTGGGAGTCCCCATTTTTCCTAACCTGCATGGTAATGACAAACCCAGAGTCAGCTGCTCAGTCCTGAAGTACCAGGCTCACAATGACCTATTCTAACGAGCTTTTTGGTATCAAATGGCAGCCCCAGAGAGCATGCTCTTAGAATTCCTTCTCCTTACCAAGCCTGGAGATTCCCTTTCCTCTTCTCTCCTTTGCCCTCCCACTATAAGTTTTGCCACAACTGTGCTTTTACCTCCTGAAACATTATTTCTCTAGACATCTGAGTGCTGGTTTCTAGTAAACTTAAGTAAATGGTTGGTGAATGAATGACACTTTCTTCCAGGTTTTCCCCCAGGCATCCCCTATCTCTCTCTGGTCGGGTTTCTAGATTGTATCAGTATGGAAAAATGCTCACTAATATTTTCCAAGGCTAACACTAGAATTTGTATCCAGGACCAGCTTTAGAAAACATAATTTTAGAACTTAGGATACATTAGACCCACATTTCTTAAGTATCACCTAGAAGAAACGACCTCAAAGCTCATACCACTGCACTATTTTGTCCTCAAACCCCACAATGTTGTATTAGTTTCCTATGACTGCTATAACAAATAACCACAAACTTAGTGGCTTAAAACGACACAGATTTACTGTCTTACTGTTCTGGAGGTCAGAAGCCCAACACAGGTCTCACTGGACTAAAATCAAGGTGTCAGCAGAGCTGTGCTCTCTCTGGAGGCTCTCAAGAGAATCTGTTTCCTTGCTTTTCCAGCTTCTAAAGGCCACCTGCATTCCTTGGCTTATGACCCCTTCTGCCATCTTCAAAGCCAGTCTGTCTTCTACTCTCTCTCACGCTCTCTCTCTGACTCTGCTTCTGTTGTCACATCTCCTTCCCTGACGCTGACTCTTCTGCCTCCCTCTTTCACTTTTACGGACTCTTATGGTTACCTTGGACCCGCCAGATAATGCAGGATCACCTCCCCATCCAAGACCCTTAACTTAATTATAAACTCCCTTTTGTTGTGTAAGGTAACATTTTCACAGGCTCCAGGAATTAGGACGTGGACATATTTGGGGAGGGGAATGTATTCAGCCTACCACATCAGGAAACCACACTGTCACACTGAAACTCTCTAAAAACATGACTATCAAAGTAGATTTTCTAATTTCTTGCTTTATTTTCAGATGCAGAGAGAAGTTATTTATGCAAGAGGAGATGGCTCTGGTGCTTCTCGACCTGGATCCACAGCTCATCTACCCCATGCAGTTCCAAATTCTCCCCCATCCACGCCTATGCCCCATTCTATGCCTCCCTCCCCATCCAGAATCCCTTATGGGGGCACTCGCCCAATGGCCATTCCTGGCAATGCCACCATCCCCAGGGACAGACTCTCCAGCCTGCCTGTCTCCAGATCCATCTCACCAAGCCCAAGCGCCATTTTAGAAAGAAGAGATGTAAAGCCAGATGAAGACATGAGCGGCAAGAACATTGCAATGTACAGAAGTGAAGGTTTCTATGGTGACCCTTACCTTTATCACGAGGGACGGATGAGCATCGCCTCTTCCCACGGTGGACACCCTCTGGATGTCCCTGACCACATCATTGCATATCACCGCACAGCAATCCGGTCGGCCAGTGCTTATTGTAACCCGCCTTTGCAAGCAGAAATGCATATGGAGCAGTCACTGTACAGACAGAAATCAAGGAAATATCCGGAGAGCCACTTGCCTACTTTGGGCTCCAAAACGCCGCCCGCCTCTCCTCACCGAGTCAGCGACCTAAGGATGATAGAAATGCACCCACATCATAATGCTCACGGGCCCCCTCACACCCTGCAGCCAGAGCGAGTCTCCCCAAGCCGCCAGTCCTTTAAGAAGGAGCCGGGCACCTTGGTGTATATTGAAAAGCCACGGAACACTCCAGGATTATCCAGCATGGTGGACCTCGGCCCTCCTCTAGTTGAGAAGCAAGTTTTTGCTTATAGCACTGCTACGATACCCAAAGACAGAGAGACCAGGTAAGGTGTGGTGAGGGTTCACAGGAGTCATGCCTGCTCAGGGCCTATGTGTGGGTGAGCATCTCTGCTCAGTGCACACATAAGTCTTGGGGCCGCTCTACACAGCTCAGACCGAGACAGCAAATGTGGACTGAGTACCAGCCTTGGGCAGAGCTCTCTGCAGGTGCTACAGAAGATGCAGAGGGGAGCCAAAGGTCCTCGTTATCTGCAAAGAGCTTCTAAATCAGTGGGGTTATGGGAAGCACATCAGTAGCCATGTTATAGGATTAGTCAACTATTTGGTGAACATGTTATAGTAACTAGTCATGCGGACCTCCTGAGCATGGGCTTAACAGCCTCCCTGGTGGCACAAACGGTTAACACATTTGACTACTAACTGAAAGGTTGGTGGTTTGAGTCTACCCAGAGGCACCTCAGAAGAAAGGCCTGGCGATCTACTTCTGAGAAATCAGCCACTGAAAACCCTAGAGAGGACAGTTCTACTTTGACACACGTGGGGCCGCCATGAGTTGGACACAATGGCAACTGGTTTGGTTTGGTTTTTTTAATCATTTGTGTAGATTTCAATGATTTGGAAGAAATTGTGATTAACAGAAACCATCCAGACAAATGGATCAAGAGATCCTAATAATTGATCTGCCACTGAAAATAAGAAGTGAGTGGTTCAAGTTTTAACTGTGTGAAATGGTCATTGTGGAGTGCAGTTTTGTTGTCTCACCTGGTTCTGGGAAATGGAAAAAATGTGTCACTGTTTGTCTTTTCAAGTGATAAACATGAATTTGCATGAAAGTAGAATGGTTTAGATTTAATTCTCATTTGAGAGTGGTGCCAAAATCAGCAAAAAATGTTCTAGTGAATGAGACACTCTGGGTATTTAAATTTCTTTTTTAATACATATATGGATATATTTTATAATTTACCAGCCTAGAACCTTCTGACTTCATGTTGAAAACCCCCAAAGTTCACATAGTAATAGAAAGACTGATTTTAATAAGATATTTTTCTAGCCTGAGTTGGTTGAAGAAAATCAACATAATAATTACAATCATAAAAATCTAGTCAAAGAAATTGAGTCCAAAAGAGGGCAAGCATTTTACCTGTTGTTGTATGTGAATTCAGAGGGGGTGTGAAAAATCTACATATTTAATTACTCAGAGCCTTCTTAGAATCACCGTTCTCTCTTACTCACTGATAAAGGTAGTATCACTTACTATTACATAACCTTGTAAAAAGAAGACCAGAATCATGAATGGAATGTGAATTGTTGACCTTACTTTTCACACACAAGTAAGAAATCCCTGTCTTCTTTAGCAGAATTTCATAATGAAAGTGCTGCCCCTCTGTTTCTATTCAGTCAAAGGGACTATCACAGCAGAGAGTTTCCAGGAGGATGGAAAGAGAATATACTTGGAAATTTAGAAGCCATTAATTCAACCACAAATTCTAACTCTCTCACACAGTTAGAAAACCAGCAATGGTGATTGGCTTAATTATGTAGGACTAAGAAAAATCAAGACTCAGAAAATAGTATTCATTCTCTTTTTTCCAAAGTCATTGTTGTCATTGGTTGCTTTTGATTTGATTCCTACTCATGGTGACCCCATGTGTGCAGAATAGAACCATTCCATAGGGTTTTCAAGACTGTGATCTTTTGGAAGCAGATTGCCAGGCCTGTCTTCCAAGACACCTCTGGGTGGGCTCGAACTACCAACCTTTCAGCTAATAGTTGAGCACTTAAACATTTGTGCCAACCAGGGACTCCCTCCAAAGTTATTAGTAAGTGAAATTCTGAGAATCAAAGAAAGGGCCACTCATCATAACAAGTAGCGGAGGGGTGTGGTATGAACATTGCAAGCTTATTGGAACAGACCAATGTCGCAAGTGAGAGACGAGCTACCAGGACCTGCCTCGAAAGGCATAGTAGTCGTAATGTTAAGGCTGGGAAGCTTATGCTGTGTGCTCTGCAGAAAGGGTAGCACATGGCATTCACTGCAGTGGGGTGCGAGGAACTGGTAGGGAAATGCGTGTCATCGAGAGCATGGAACTTTGGGCTGTAAGAATTTAGTCTGATAAACATTTAAAACTAGGCATTTCCAGGATATAATGTTGAGCGCCAGAACTCATCCTCCCAACCATTCCAGCATCCCCTCACCCCACGCTCACCTACTGTGTGGGTGGAAGAGAATCGAGACCTTGATTCCACTTGATATTATGTTAAGCTGTTGTCATGTTGCTGTTGTCATGTTTCCACCCTGCTAGGTTCTGGGCAATGGTGGTTCAGTGGTAGAATTCTCACCTTTTATGAGGGAGACCTGGGTTCAATTCCTGGCCATTGCCCCTCATGCTTAGCCACTATTCATCTGTCAGTGGAGGCTTGTGTGTTGTTATGATGCTAAACAGGTTTCAGTGGAGCTTCCAAACTAAGACAGACCAGGAAGAAAGACCTAGTGATCTACTTCCAAAAATCAACCAGTAAAAACCCTACAGATCACAACAACCGGATCCCGTTGTGCATGGGGTCTCCATGAGTCGGGGACCAGCTTGACAGCAACTAACAACAACAAGGTTCCAGGCACATTTTAGACAATGATGGTGTCTCTGACTTCTTCCCAACATCTAGCACACTGTCATGCACATAGTTGCCACATGTACATAGTTTACTGAATATCATTGAACCCGGTTTTCCAAGGGATTTAGTTATGAGAAAACGAAACAAAGGAACCCTCTACTAACATGTGGAGTCGTCTCTATATTGCTCCCTGACCAGAATCTTGAAGAATTTAGCTTTAAGTAGTATCAGTGTTCTTTTACGGCCTCTGCTTCTTCTTTAAAAAGAATTTCCCAACCCCAGATATTTCCATTTTACCAAACCTCAGAAAATTCCAAGGATTTCTGTGTTACAAGTTAGAAACCCTTTTATTTATAAGGAGAGACAATGATTTTTGGAGAAACCCTTTTTAAAAAATCCAAGTTATCTTCTATTTCTGGAATAACCAAAAAATTTTAAATTGTACTCTGTCCTATAGGGTCACTGTCAGTCAAAATCTACTCAGGTTAAAGCATAGGTTAGAAAAATTTCAAAGGGCTGCCAGTCACAGTGATCATCTTTAAATTACATAAATCTGAACTTAAACTTTTGTTTGATCAACTGTTAAACCAAAGATCTATCGCACTCCTCAAAGCTACCAATACAATAACATCTAATTCTCCTCAAATGAGAAAGCAATGCGAAATGATTAAGAGCAGACACAAGCTACCAGTTAGCATGCAGGCTTCCTCCTGTGCACAGTTTTCTTCTCCTTCTTTCCAACTGGCTAAAGGCAAAGGCTTCTGAGACTGTTGTTATTGTAACTACCATGTTCTGACATTAAATTGTTTTTAGGATTATAATTTTAAAATTTTGCATTTTTCATTCCCCAAAATGTGAAAGAATAGAAGAATTTTATCACATACCTTGCTTAGGTCACTCCTCACCTGTTAGTCATCTTATCTCCCGAGGGTGGAACTGGAGTGCTTGTGTATATGTAGGCTGGCAAAATAGCCTTCTCCTGTAGACAGGCAGACAGACAAACACACAAACACCTGTCTCTACAGTGAAATCCTTTAGAGTTGTTATTACTGAGGGACCTAAACACCCACACTTACTCATCCAAAACACATGACAAAGAGTGTAGAATGATTCCCAAGTAAAAATAAGTTGCATCTTGGAACTTTTACTATCAGCACTGCTACCCACCTCCCCACTGTTACCTAGACAGGTAAGATTATGGGACAGAGTGTGAGAAATGTATGACTTGTGCCTTCTCTCCAGCAGAGTCTGATGCTGAACTCTTTTGGAGAGCCTGGTAACCAGCTGAAATGTACTATTGCTGGATAACAATAATAAGAAGAAAGATGACATTGAAGGCAGCTATCATTTATTGAGAGCCTCTTATGGTCTAAGCACCATGTTAAATAGTTTCCATATATCATATGATGTAATCATCATGACAACCTAGTGAGGTATGCATTGCTATCATCATCTCCATTTTACAAATGTGGAAACTGAGGCTCAGGGGGGTTAAGAAACTTGCCCAGGGTTACAAAGTCAGCAGGTGGCATAGAATGTCCAGGTCCATTAAAGAATGGACTATTTACCAGTGGGCAGTATTCTGTCTGGTGAGTGAGAACTATGTGCCTGAACTTCACCCAACAGAGGAATACATTCAAGAGTGAATTCTGAGCGTTTCAACCAGAATTCTTCAAAAATGGTTTCAGGGCTAGATGCTGAATAACTGTTCTTAAAGTATATTTACAATCATAACTGCAGTAGAACTTGCCTAAGTATTCTGCTAAATATATACATACCATTTAAAATACTACTGTCTACCTAGTATATTAGCATAGTTATGCAGAAATAGGTGAAGAAAGAAGAGAACATTTTTCGTAGGTTTTATTTTCAAAAAATGAATGTGAGTACTATGTCAAGGAAAATTTTTTTAAAAAAAGAACACCAGAAACAATTACTGAAGCAGAAAATTATAGTCCATTGTCTAGCCTACAACATGATGTTATCCTAGAAATATTTAATCTGTATTAAGTATTTTTAAAGAGGCTTCAGCCCCTAAAAGTCTAACTTCATGAGTACAGAGCCCCATAAACTACCAAACCAATTTCTGTTGCAATTTCATAATATTAAAAAGCAAATCAATCTGGGAGTGCTTTTTATATGAGACTCTCAAGTGAAATTTTATATCCAAGATGTGAAGCTACAAAAGCACAGGAGGGAGACTGAGAAATCTGTAGCTGTGCTTTATTTGGGCACTGCTGGATTCCTATGCTGTTCAGAAGAGCACTTTTATGCAATAGACAGAAGAACTGCATGGTGTTAGAATTCAGGGAGGAAAATTCTTTCTTTCCCATCTGTACTCAAGAAACCTCCAATGGTAGCTTTGTTTGAGGGAAGATGATTTTATAAAAGCTCTGTTGACTTGGAAATGGAGAGTTAAAGACTAAGTAAT